TCGTTGAGGATTCGGTCATCGACCTCCATCGCCTCCCACGGGTTGGTGTCTTGCTCCGGTCGGTGTTCCTGGCCTGACCTTCTCCAACATCTCCACAACCTTGGTGGTGTCCACGGCTGGTTGTTGACGGTGGCTGGAGGTGATGCTGAAAAACGCGCAATCTTATGTATAATTAATTGTGTGGGCGTTTTATGTAGGACACGTGGATTTTTCTCGGCGGTAGCTGATCGGTTAGGAAAATTCCTTTACCAACCCCCTTTTCCAGCTTTACGGGGCCCCTCCATTTCGGTGCGAATCCCGCATGAAATCCCTTGTGCGCCTTGGACAAGTGGTGGGCCTTATATAGTACCATATCTCCCTCCGAGAGTTTGCATTTATCGGCCACAATGTCCCGGTTGTGTCTGCCTGTGATTTCTACCTCCCGCTTAAGTCTATCCCTGTTTATTGGTTCGACCTTCGTATGTGCGTAGTAGAGTCCAATCTCCGGGTCTTTTCACTCGCGTCCGAGTACTAACACCGATGGTGGATATCCTGACTGTATATTGCGCCGGTTTCGAATAGCAAATAAAATGGGGGCTAACTTCGTGTCCCAGGTGGTGTGTTTGCCGTTGGTGAGTGACGCGCGTAGTCCTTTTTTTAAGTCCTGATTGCGGCGCTCGACCGGGCTGGCTCTGGGGTAATAGGTTGGGGTGGTCCAACCTTCCGCCCCCCATAGTTCAATCACGCTAAGCATGTTGTTTGACACGAACTGGGGGCCGTTGTCACTGAGACACACGCGGGGGTAGCCGAAACGTGAGAAAAATTCTCGTTCGAGCGTTTCGGTAATGTTTTTAGTAGTGGCTGTTCCTAGCGGGCATGCGTAAGGACCTACATTCATGTATGTCCGCAACATTAGTAATGACTAATGATAAATTATAATAATACCTCATTTGTACCTATATTTTCACATATTTTTATTGAGCTTTATTATCAGTGATAAAAATTTAAAAACAGTGATTTTTAAAAGACATATACTCGTAATTGGTTTATAATGTTATTGAATGCTTAAAAAATATTTATAAATATTCTATAATATCTCTAGTTAACGTTTTTGTTATTAAAACCTTAATTAGTAGTAAGTCCACAGTTATTTTTGAGTATTTTTAAATGTATCATCTATGATACACTGTGCAGTAATGGCATATTTGTTCTTACATATTTATACATTTATAATTATATTATTTATATTTTACAATATTATTTTATTTAGAAATGAGAGTACTAAAAAAAGGCTTGACCGATGAAGAATTAGTTGAACTGTTAGATTATAATATTAGTGATGACAACCAAAATGGGTCTGATATAGAAGATTTAGATGATTTATTTTAAATTATATTTATTTAATTGAATTTTAATCTAATGTTAATTTAAATTATTTAGATAATATTATTGAATTTTTTGATAGTGCTAATATTTCTTTAACAATCAATAATAATAATGAAGTTACAAATTACTGATATTCTCAATTTACCAGTAGATTTTGGTGAAAACCAGCTAGATTCAACAAAAAATATTAATGATTTACTTACTGAAAAATCAACCAAATAATATCATTACATATATAATACATATTATACAGATATAAATAATTTATTTTATGTCACTAATACAGAATTAAAACAGTACGTAGAAATTTGCTTATTCACATCTATTGTACAAATATCTAATGTTTGAAGGTACTAGAATACTGACAATGGATTTACATCCAGCACAATTTATCAATATCTAATAATATTTTGGATTTGATTAAGTACATTTAATTTTTTTATTTATAAGCATTATAATTGTTAAATTCATTATACAGTCGACTCGCGATAACTCGAAGTTGAAGGGGGATAAAAATACACTTTGAGATACGTATTATTCTAGATACCTAACTCGAATTTATCAAAATTAAATCAAAACTTCGAGTTATATAATGAAATATAATAAAATATAAAAATTATAAAAATTTATGACAAATATATGTAAATAAATGTTATACAAAAACTAAAATAGATAAAATGGTACTATAGGTATATGTACATATGTATTTATTAGATACAGTAGAAAAATAATTTGTAATTAATTTTTGGGTCTTCGGCTGTTTGTTGACAAAATCTTCTAATTTTCCTATGGTTTCGAATATAGAAGTATCCACACCTGCGATGGATTCAACAAACTGCCTATTGCTTGATTTGTCGTTATCATATCTAATGTTCTTTCAGGCTCATCATTTTCATCATTTTCTGAATCACTGTTTGATATATTGATACCCATGATTTCGTTATCAGTTAATAGTCCAGTGACTTCAACATTTTCATCGATTTTAACATACGATTGAAATGTAGTTTCTTGATCTATATTAAGCTTATCTGCTACAATTTGCCAATCATATCCACCACCATCATAATCATTGTTTTCTAAACATATATCACTATCACACTGCTCTTCATTAAAATAGAATCCAGCGTTTTTAAAACAATTGATAATTGTATTCTGTTGTATATTACGCCATGCATTTTCAAACTCCGTATTATACATAGTATAAACTACCTAAGAACTTCATACGTTAATCACTAGGGCTCGGATTTATATGTAAATACATATTTTTTCTGTGATTTGATAAATTAATTTAGATTAGTGATAAATTTGTTTCAAAGGGTTTCCATTGAAATTAATTATATTTTATTTTACATATTTTTACATATTTTGCCATAAGTACATGATTTTGCATATTTCTTAATAATTCCATTTTTCCTACATATTTCAACAAATTAAATGCTTTTCCTCCAAAATAATCCATTCAACGTGTTTAGTACGGAATAGCAGAAACCATACGATCAAAATTGATAAAAGTAGGTAAATTAATATCTACAGTCAAAAAGATATTTTTAAAAGCTCCTAGCAAATTTCAAAAATGCCCTAACAAAATCTAGCGAATTCGGCTGAATAATTTGACATATTTTTTTTTGAAATCGAACATAGTGCCGATGTGTCCACAAATATAGCACCGGCATATTTGTTTGCGGATTATCGAAGTTTAGGACCCTAGCAAAATCCAAAAATGCCCTAGCAAAATCTAGCAAATTCGGCTGAATAATTTGACATATTTTTTTTTTTAAATCGAACATAGTGCCGGTGCGCTCACAAAGTTAGCACCGGCATGTTTGTTTGCGGATTATCAAAGTTTAGGGGCCCTAGCAAAATCTAGCAAATACCTAGCAAATTTTTGATACCATTTAAATATCCTAGCATAATGTGCCGGTGCCAACTTGACTGACATCAGTGGCGGTTTTGGTTGTATTGCTACTTATGTATCACCCCTCCTCCCTTCATAACAAAAATTAAATTTCTTAAAAATGGAATTTAAAAGCATAAAAATAATTATAACTAATAATACTTCTTTTGTATAGTAAATAATATAATAAGTTATGAATAATAAAGTGAGCTTTTAAATATTTGGTAGTCTATAAACTATATTAGAATAAGTTAATTTCAAATTATTTAAAGCATTTTCTGGAAATTTACAAGAATATTCTTTAAATTTAGTTACATCAGCTAACTGTAAAAAAAGTAATTTATTTGTGTCTTGTAATCTGGTATGTAATTGCATTAGAATATTATCAATTATTTCATAAAATAAAATTTTAAAATTTTATTAATTGTTTGATTCATTTCTTGTAGCTTTCAGGGGTTTTTTAAGAGTAACCACTTGATTAAATAATTTTAAAAATTCAGGCTCATTTCTTTTTTTATTTATAAGATCACATGTTACATTTATTTTTCTTAAGCAAAATTCCATTTCAAATGATTTATTCTGAAGAACGTTAAATAAATTGTCAGTATACATGATGAATATATTATTAAATATGAGTAATAAAAAAGCAAATTCAAAAGTTTTTAAATTTTTTAAATGACCTAAAGCACCACAAATAGATTCAGACGAAGATGTTGGATCTTTACTAATAAAATCAAAAACATTTATAAACCCTGACCACTCATTAACTACTGTATTTAAAATGTTTGAACGTAAAGACCATCTAGTTTGAACGAATTGAGCAATTCGTTTCCGTACAATATTATCTATAACATAAGTACGCGAGGTGGATTTGTGAAAATAAGCAGCGATACCAGATATATTAGCAAAAAATATACGAATATATGTTGAAATACCAAATTTAATCTATGAGCTAGACAGTGTGTAAATAAAGCATTAGGAGCAAGTTCTTTTACTCTAGCCTGTAAATCTGTTAAAAGCCCACATGCCCCATCATAACATTGGTCAACTAATTTACTTTCCATATTAACCTCATGTAAAACAGAACAAACCAAATTAAATAAACCTTGTGCTGTGCGGTCTTTACTAACATTATGAAAACCCAAGAAACGTTCAACTAATTCAGATTTATCTGTAACATATCTAATAATAATTGAACTTTGTGTTTTTTGACTAATATTTGTTGTATCATCAATTTGAATAAATTAAAATTTACATTGCCTAATTTAATTTTTTATTTGATTTATTAATGAATCAGAAATACATGATATTAAATCATTTTGTATAGACTTGGACATACCTGAAAATGTGTTTTTTATACTTTTATAATAAATTTCTTGAGAACACATAACAATATGCATATCAAACAATTCTCTAAAATTCCCTTTATTTAATGAATCACTACTCTCATCATGACCACGAAATGTTAACTCTTGTTTTCCCAAAAATAAAACCATTAAGTGTTTCATAAATAAACGATTCAATCTCACATTCTCATTATAATTTTTTTTTAAATAAATTACCATTTTTATTTACAATATCTACTATAACAGGGATGGGCAACTCAAAGTAACTAGCGGTCCACTTTTAAGTACTTTAAAATCTAGCTGGCCGCAGTGCATAGGAGAAAGCAAAAAAAAAGTCCTTCAAATTTACTAATATTTATTTTTTATCTTTATTTATTTATATTTACACTTATTATTTAATGTGATACTTGAGGATGAGATTTTCCAATAGACAATTTAGTAAAATCCACTTCTATTTCTGTAGTTGAAACTTTTAGTAAATGTCCCAAGGTTTCATCTGTTAAACGATTTCTTTCCTTCGATTTAATATGTTTCAAGTTCGAAAATGTACATTCGCATATGTATGTGGTTCCAAACATAGAAAACATTTTTAATGCGAAATCTCTTAGAATTGGATATTTTTCAACTGGTAATGTTTTCCAAAATGACACATCAATCTCTTTTGCAGATAAAAATGGATTTGTTTGTAACTCACATAATTCTAATTGAAGTGAAGGATCTTGCTTTTCAATTTCAACTGCCATAGGGTTATTAAATAAATTTATTTGAGGACGCATAAGTTCAACTTCTTCAAATCGTCTTTTGAACTCTACAATTAATTCATCAATGTGGGTAATGCAATGTTCAAAATTAAATTCATTATCAAATCCTTGTTTTATAACTTCACAACACGGAAAATGTATTAATTTATTTTCAACAAATACATTTTTAAACAGTTAAAATTTTTTTCTGAATCCATCTAAATTTAACTTATTTGAGATATTGTTTGTTTTCTACCTTGTAGTTGTAAATTTAGTTTATTTAAATGTTGAAAAATAACTGTTAAAAATGCTAATGAACATAGAAATTGTTTATCAACTTATTGATTTTCAAAATAAGTGGTATCAGTTGTAATATTCATAATGTTATCAATTTCATTATTTTACCATACAACGCTTCTTGATGAATAATGCAATGTATTGCAGGAAGATTAATATCTGATTTGCGCAATAATCCAACAAAACCAATATTTTTGCCAACCATAGATTTTGCACCATCAGTCACAACCTATTTTTTGAAACCTCCAAATGGTCCAATTACATTTTTTACAGTATTAAAAATATCAATTCCTTTGTTTGATCCATGTAAGGAACACAATTCTAAAAGTTCTTCATAAATTTCAAATTGTGGAGAAATAACTCTAACAAATATTAAAAGTTGACTTACGTTTGAAACATCAGTACTTTCGTCTAATGCTATTGAAAAATATGCCCAATTCATCATTATAGTTTGCAATGTTCACGAATAACACTATCAGTGTCAGCTAAACGATGTGTCACGGTACATCTTGAAAGAGATATTTTTTCAAATTCATTCGCAATTCTATTTTCGTTTATTAATTTAGCCATTTTTATTGCACAGTTTTTAATAAATTCACCGTCACTCAGAGATTTTTAGATTTAGCAATTTCATTAGAAATAACATATAATGCCATTAAACTTAATTGTTGTGAAGTTGTTGCTTTTACCATCACATTTTGTTGAGATTGGAGTTTTCTCTTCAGATCAATTACAACATTCTTTTTTGCGACACCGGTGTATTTATCATATTTGGACGAATAATTTATCATGTAATGTCTTTTCAAATTATATTCTTTTAGTACTGCAATAATATTTAAACAAACTAAACATTGAGGTTTAGTTTGTTTGTTAATAATAAATAAATATTCATTATCCCATAAGCTATTAAAAATTCTATTTTCGTCTTCGATTTTACGCTTTTTAACAGACATTTTTAAAATAATTACTACAAAACACGAAAATAATAATACTAACGGCGCACAGTAGGACACATTTACAATCTAGGTGGGAAAAATGTCTTAAAGTTAAGTTTTCACAACTGTATTTAAAATATATATAAATGTTATAAATATATCTAATAAATTAATATGTATGATTTACAACTTCTCAAACATCGGTGTTTTGCCATAGATACACTATTACCTAATGGTTTTATACACAGCTGTTGTTTTTATGAAAAAAAACGTATCCCTTGAAGTATAATATAAATTGACGTAATCATCCGTTTCGTGTGATTTTTTTTCTTTGTTAGCTTAAAGTCTATACTTTTCAAAATCATATTGTTTTTTTATTTAACCAACGCATTTTCCAGCGAAATACAAGAATTCTGGTAAGTGTATAAAAAATAAACTTTTCATTACTTGGTATAGACGAGTAAAAAAAAGTACTGATTTATACCAAAAATATAAGCATGTATTTATAATCCTTAAGGTATATAGTTAATTATATAGTTGTATGATCGTTTACTTTTTTTTACTTTTCATGTAATTTGAATTTTTTTAACTTTTTTTTTTTTAACAAAAATGAATTATTAGGCCGGTGACACACATAAGAAATTTGTTTCATAAGATTTGTTTCTTACAATGAATCACACGAAACATATTTCATGGTCAATACACATAGAACAAATTTGTTTCATAAATATTTTTTTCACCTACCCACCATTTAGTTCACTCAGTTCATTTTAGTTGGTCTAAAGATGTCGTCCGATGATGACATTATTGTTCTGCAATGGTGGTTAAATCGAAAGAAGAAGATGATTAAAAAAAAAAGAAGATACTGGGTGCATCCTGCGAACCTAATTAATTTAAAACATAGTGCTACTATTGTTGCAAACAAATTAAACCAACATCCGGACAAATTTAAATCATTCTACAGAATGAATCTCACACATTTTCAACAAATCGTGAACTTGGTTGGGCCATCAATTAAAAAGCAAGAAACATTCTGGAGAGAACCAATTGGAGTAGAAGAACGATTATTGATAACATTAAGATAATTATATAATAATATTTTAATCAAATAAAAATTATAAATAGAAAAATGAAAATGAACAAAAAAAATGTAAAAAAAACTTTTTGAAATTAAAAACATAATAATAAAAAAAAACTTTCATAATAACCTTTTCAATATAACATTTATAACTGTAGGTAATAGTAACTAATTGAAAAAAGAAAAAAAATTTTCTGACAAACTTTAAAAAAAAATTTAAATTATTTATTATTGTTAATGCTCGAGGGATTGTTTGCAATCGTTTGCCACTCATTTCACGCATACTGACCATCTTCAGTATACCAATTCACTGAGGGTATTTGCTCTGATGCACTTGCCGAAGTCGATGAAAATGTGTTTTGGCTTGAAGAAGGAGTAGATGAAATACTAAGAGCTTCATCTACTGGAGATAATATTTCATCTATTAGTTCACTAACTTTTGTTCTGAAACGCCTCATTTGACGATCATTCATCAACTCTAAATCCGGTAATAGACTTAAAAGAAATAATTTTTTTGGACTTTCTTCAGCTTTAGGTTGTCCTTTTTTTTTAATGTATTCCATAACACATTTTTCAACATCATCAGTATTGGAAGTGTTTTTCTTCTTTTTTACTAACGAATCTGTTGTAGGCTGTGGAATAATTAAATCATTATTTTCATTTATACCATCACCAACTACTTCTAAATTCTGTTCTGATTGCATGATGTCCTCTTCATCATCATTTTGCTGCTCTGGAGATGGCAATGGTGGTAAATTGCTCGGTAGGTCATGATTATTTTTTGCATTAACATACAGTCTTATAAAATCCATTTCTTTTATCATATTTTGAGTTTTTTGAGTTAACTTTTTCGCTGGAGATCCACTAGCAGGCAATTTTATTGATCTTGTATAGGTTATGCGTAATAATCTCCATGCTTCTTTGAATTCTTGAGCTACGAGAAAATAAAGTAAATAAAGGGGGAATTATAATGTCAAAAGGTAACAACTATTTTTTTTAATGAATTTTTATAGTGCTTATTGACTACGCTGATCTTAAGTTCAGTAAATTGATTAAATGTTTTAGTAAATTATAAACGTATATGAAACTGCATTGAATGATGGTAGTTTAAAAAAGTAGCAAGGAGGTAAACGACATATCTGTTAATAATAACATATGGAAAATGGCAATAATTTGATAAGAATGTTAGTAGAAGATTTGCTTGCGAGTGAAGTGATGTTTTTTTATTTTAAAATAGGTGTCTATTGGCTATTAAGTGAGCATGATTAAAAAACAGCTTGTATACAATCAAGATAATATGTTTTTCAGATTTTTAGCTACCGGTGTATACTTCAAACAGCTTGCGTTTAATTTTAAGAGAGGTGCATCAACTATTGGATTAATAGTATTTGAAACGTGTAACGCAATATGGACAATTCTTCAGCCGATTTTTATGGCAGCTCCTACAGAAAACACCTGGAGAACTATAGCTGTTCGTTATAACTCACTGTGGAATTTTCCACATTGCGTTGGATCTATAGATGGCAAACATTTTCGAGTCCAGAAGTTTGCTAATATAGGTTCAAGAAATATAAACTATAAAGGTTATTTTTCTGTCCAATTGCTAGCTTGCGCAGATGCTGATGGCTGTTTTACCACCATAGATGTTGGAGATTTAGCTGTCAAAATCAAAAATGCATGAGCTTCCCGAAGACGTGTTACCTTTGTTAATAGTAGACTCGATGACTGACGATGACCAATAACATGAACATTAAAATTAACTTTTGATGAGATTGCTTGTTGATTGTTTTTTATATTTTTTGTTAAAAATTTTTTTATAAATTATTTTAATTAGATTTACTAATTAAATTAAAATAAACATAAATATTTGTTTCTTTATTAATATATATCTTAATTGTATTGATAAGTATAAATATGATTCAATACGTAAATTGTCAGTTTTGTCCACCTAGATATGGCATTTGTCCCACTGTGCGGCGTGGCACGATCGTGAGTGTTTAGTTTTAATTTTTTTTTTTCTTTACATATTTATTGTACTTCGTTCAGACCGGTATCACACGATTGTGCAGGTAGCGTTCTTACAATTAAAAAAAAAAAAAAATGATAATCGGATGAAACCGTGTATTTTTATTTTTAGATTTTCCCCAGCTTACGATATCCATGTTCTTCGTCCACATTTCTCTCTATATATATATTTACGATAACAGTAACTTTTTATTTAATTTTTTATCAATAACATGATTTCCAAGTAATTTTTCAAAATATTCAGTGCATAAAACATAAAATAAACTACGACTATTATTAACTATTACTACTAATTTTAGAACCCTACATTATTTTACTACATTCAGTTGTAATTAGTTTAGCATAAATTTAATGAAAAAATTAGACCAAGTAATAATATGATTGATTCGAGTGTAAATTAGGTTATAATATAATAATTAATCTAATCTATATAATATTTCTAGCAGTCAAAAGAAAACGAAAAGGTTTTGCAGATCCAAGCCAATGGTTAAAGAATAAACGTAAACATAATAGAGCTGCTGGAAAATCGTATGTTGATTAAAAATGTAAGGTTAGATCTGAGAAAGAGGTTAAACAATTACTTACTACACAATCTAAAATTTCACTTCACAAAATATAAAAAATCGTTCTTCATTCTTTATTCTATGCTTAAAAGTTTTTTAAGTTTATTTCCACATTAAAATATTGGTTTATTTGGATCCAGTTACTACTTTTTTTTTTTTTTACGACCGGTCTTGATGTATGTCTGTGAAACCTGGTCGGTAACTAAGGGAGATGAAGAAAAGTTAAACATATTTGAAAGAAAAGTACTATGTCGAATCTATGGCCCTGTAATTGAGAATGGTGAATATATAAGAAGAACTAACCAAAAATTGTACTAAATGTTCAATAAACCCATTATAAGTTCGTATCTAAAAAGTAAAAGGTTAGAATGGGCGGGCCATATTTGGAGATCGGAAGGTATTGCAAAAAATCATTTCACTGGAAGACTAAGCGGTAAAAGACTTAGAGGTCGACCAAGACAAAGATGGGAGGACAGAGTGAAAATGGATCTCACGGAAATCTCAGAATTAATAAGGATTGAAGATAGTGAAGACAGAGATAGGTGGAAAGATGTGGTTGAGGCAGCGATGGTCCTAAATGGACTGTAAAAGCTTGAAGAAGAAAGATCCAGTTACTATTATTGATAAGGTTTGGTAACAACACAGAATAAAACAAAATGGACACTGATAAAAAATTACATAGGCAACATAGGACAATAATGAAATCAGTCAGTCATTTTATTTGAGGTACAGTAGGAAGTTAGTAACATTTTATTCCATCATGAAACGGTAGTAATATTCTTTATAAGCTACTGCGCATTTTCAAATTTTACTAATAGTAGTATTATTTTTCAAAGTATTAGGTGAAATAAGAGTTTGAGATTTGGGGGGCTTATAAGTCTTATACTATGGCAGTAGTTCTCAACCGGGGTGACATGGATCCAATCTAGGGGTGACAAGAAAACCTTGGGGAAAAGTTTAAAAATATAGAATATTTTTCGAAAATAATCGTATTATTGTAACGGTAATCATGTGATTGCTACTACAGTCAAATAACGCAATAATTGTTTACACTAAACGGCACAGATACCGCAAAATTCTTTTCTTTGTATTATTTATTTATATTTATAGTTAACACTATAGATTCGATAAATACGTTCGTTCGACATGCGACAACGTTACGTTATCTGAAACGGGTCAGTTTTTCTACAGTCACTACGCACGACTATTATATACTTTACTGATTAATGTGAATTATTATTTCAAGTTAGTATAAAGTGTTTATTATTTTTGTTAAAATTGTAATTCTTCATTTTAAATTGTATTAAATACTATAAACTTTTTTAAGTATTTTTAGTATATATTTTATTATACTTAACCTTGACAGTGTTGTATTTTTCGTTAGCGAGTGCAGGTAATAATAATTTATTTGTGAAAAATCGAAAATAATATTATTATTATTTTGCTATATGTATGGATAGATTTATTACTCGGACCTCGACACTAATTGAAAGCTCACCATCAACTTCTGGAACGTTAAAACAGATTAAAGGTAAGTGTCGGTTATACGATGAATCTTATATATCCATTGGTTTCACATGGTGTGGTCCAAAAGATGAACCTATTCCCGAGTGTATCATATGCGGAAAAACATTTACCAACGAATCGATGGTGCCCAACAAATTAAACAGACATTTTATTAAACAACATTTTCACTTGAAGTGCAAAGATATTCACTATTTCAAAAGACTTTTAAGTAGCCAAAAAAAAGAAGGAATCAAGTTCACAAAAAAAGTTAAAATTTCTGAGAGGGCTCTCGAAGCTAGTTTTGTTGTTTCCCAAATGATTGCTAACAACATGAAAGCGCATAATATTGGAAAAAATTTAATCAAACCTGCGTGTAAGGAAATGGTGCGAATAATGATTGGAGATGAAGTGGCTCTTGAAATAGATAAGATACCAATGTCTAATGACATTATTACTCGTCGCATAAATTATATGTCTGTAGATATAAAACAACACACCGTAGAAAAGATGAAACTTTCTCGGTTCACACTTCAAGTTGACGATTCAACTGTTAGCGACGAAAAATGTTACATGATAGGATTTGTTCGTTTTGTTGTTGGTTATGACATTATAAACCAGTTTTTGTGTTTGAAAGAGTTAAAAACAAGTACAAGAGGCAAAGACATTTTTGAAACAATCAATGTTTTTTTTGAAAATAATGGAATATCGTGGAGTGACTGTGTTGGAATTTGCGCTGATGGAGCTCCAAGTATGACCGGGAATATCAAAGGATTTGTTACACTCGCTAAAATGAAAAACCCATTAATCGTTAAGACTCATTGTTTCATCCACAGAGAAGCGCTAATGACAAAACGTTGGGTAGTAATCTCAATTCTATTTTGATTAATGATGTTCATATTGTCAACTACATTAAAGGAAAGCCCTTGAAAAGTAGGATTTTTGCCGAAATTTGTAATTCAATGGATGCTGGTTTTACAAATTTGTTGTACCATACCGAAGTGAGGTGGTTATCAAGAGGAAAGGTCTTAGTACGTCTCTGTGAACTTAAAGAGGAACTTTTACTGTTTTTCATGGAAGAGGACAATGAAGAATTTACAAGTTTTTTGGAAGATCACGATTGGATACCAAAATTTGCGTACTTGGCTGACATTTTTTAGCATTTTAACCTAGTTAATTCTAGTTTGCAAGGGCCATTAGAAAATGTTTTAACTTCCACCGACAAACTTTCAGCTTTTCAATAAAAAATCTCCATTTGGTGTACAAACTTGGATCAAGGGAACACAGCTATGTTTCCACTTTTTACAAATCAAGAAAACTCTAATCCTGATGTTCTGGGAACCATAAGAAGTCACTTGCAGGCCTTGCAAATGTCATTGAAATATTATTTTCCAAACTTGAATGAGAAACAGTATGACTGGGTTCGCAACCCATTTATATCCTTGGTGCAAACAGATGACTGTGAATTACTACTGTTGCGTGCCGTCGATAAATCGTATATGATGGTTAAGTTTTTAAAGGATAGACTTAAATAAAACACTCAATTGAAATTTTAACTGTTTATTTAGCATATAAAAATAACATTAATATAAGAAATAATGTGGCGTGAAGGTGCTTGCGTCTTTACCTGTAAACCACATCTGAATATTGGTCTGTTCCCAACCCCCTTATATACTTAGGTTTGGTGAAGATCAAACGTGCCGCGCTGGGCGATAGTTGTTTTCAACTATAATAAATAATGGGGGTGTATACTGGCAGCCTGCACGAGGCCACCCCTGCCACTCGCTCTACATTCCAAGTAGATAAGCCGACCAATAGCCAGTAATCAGACCGTCGTCCATCACTCAAATGATCACACGACAATGAATGCAATCCCACACTTTATTGAAAATAGCCCTTGTAAGGGCTCTGACAATGTTTTAAGTCTTACTGACGTAAACAGCCTTGAGTTAATTGTCCTCCAAATAAATGTCGAAGGGCTAACAAAGGCAAAATGCGAATATCTACAAAAGCTAGCTGAAGAATATGGAGCCTCCATACTGTCATTACAAGAAACTCATGTTGTTCCGAATGCCAATATATCCAAGTTCATTATCAATGGATTCAATCTTGCCTGCCAACACCAACATAATAAATATGGTTTATCTATTTACATCAAGTCAAATATCTTACAATTTTGCGCAGCTCCTCCCATAATTATAGGGGATACAGTCACTATAGCAGTAAACATAAATGGATTCAACATCTATAACACTTACATACCACCAAACGTAAAATGGGAAGAAAATTCACTTGTAGAAATCGCCAAGCCTGCCTTGATTACAGGGGACTTCAATAGTCACAACACCACTTGGGGCTATGATAGTAGTAATGAGGATGGAGAAGTTCTCCTAGATTGGATCTCTGCATCTGACCTCTATATACTTCAGGATCTTAAAGGCCCACATACTTTTTGGTCAGCTAGGTGGAATGCAGGTTATAACCCGGATTTGTCTATGATAACGCTCAATGATGATGGTATCCCCTTCCCAGCAGAAAGATCTATCATCGGTTCTTTTCCCAATAGCCAACACAGGGTAATTATGATCAAAATTGGGCTCAGTTTCCAACTGAATAGCTCACGGCCAATCTCTAGATGGAACTTCCGAAAAGCTAATTGGGAACAGTTTAAGGTGTATATAGAACAAAATATAAATCGCATACCCAGATGTATGAATGCACTACCACGCTTCCAAAAATTATTATTCAAAGCAGCCAAAATAAATATTCCAAGAGGTTTCAGAAAAAACTATATACCTGGGTGGACTGCTGAATCTGAAGAACTATACAATGATTATACTACACATCAAACTGCGGAGAAAGGGAAAAAACTACTTGCCTCATTGGATGACGCCAGGCGTCAGAGATGGATCGAAACGGTTGAAAACCTTGACATGAAAAGAAGTAGTCGCGAGGCATGGGCATTACTAAAAAGACTAGAAGGCAAAAATAGATTTAAAAACGCACAAACTAAGATCAAGCCACAGGCAATAGCCTCGATCCTAATCAAAAATTCTTGTGGCACTGTATCAAAAGAGCAAAATAGATCAGTTAAACATATGTTACGGAAGATCCTAGCTACTTCTAAACCTCATCCTATCTTCAAAGAATGCTTCAGTGTTCAGGAGTTGATAGCTGCCATTCGCGACATCAAAACAGGGAAAGCCCCAGGTAGAGATAGCATCCATCCTGAATTTTTATATAATCTTGGCCCTAAAGCTTTACAATGGCTGGCGAGCGTATACTCTGACATTTTTCAAACTGGGAAAGTCCCAAAAACCTGGAAAGAAGCTGATGTAATTGCAATCCAAAAACCAGGCAATCCAGACGATGACCCAAAGAGCTATCGCCCCATTTCACTCATTTCTGTAATGTCAAAATTAATGGAAAGAATAATTTTAAAGCGCATTGAACCAATTGTGGAAAAGACTATTCCAATATTCCAAGCAGGTTTCCGACCAAATAGAGGATGTTGTGATCAAGTCCTTGCTATAACATCCTATCTGGAAAAAGGCTATAATATAAATACGTAAACCGGCGCTGCATTTATTGACCTTTCTACTGCCTATGACACTGTTTGGAAACATGGCCTACTACTCAAGCTAGCAAGAATAATACCCTGCCAATTCTTACTAAGGTACTTAGTAAACAGCCTGGGCAATAGAAACTTTAGAGTTCTATTGGGTAATAGAGTCAGCAAGTCCCGCGTACTTAACAATGGTCTACCACAGGGGTCAGTTCTAGCTCCGACACTCTTTAACATCTATACCCACGATCTCCCAAGTACATTATCTAATAAATTTGTATATGCTGACGATATATGCATAGCAACGCAATCCAAAGACACTGAAGTAATAGAACAAACCTTAGAAGAAGATCTTAATGTACTTGAAAATTACTTTAAAAGGTGGCGATTAAAACCGAATCCTTTGAAAACCGCAGTATCCTTGTTTCATCTTAACAACAGAGCGGCCAATCAAGAGCTCACAGTGAACTTCTGCGGCCATCGAGTAAAACATGATAAACTCCCAGTCTATTTAGGCATTACGCTAGACCGTACTTTAACTTACAAACATCACCTGGAGAAAGTAGCTTCCAAATTGAAAACGAGAACTGCATTAATTTCCAAACTTGCCGGGACTACTTGGGGAGCCAATACTCAGGTCCTGCGAACATCAACCTTGGCCTTACTTTACTCAGTGGCTGAGTATTGTTCTCCGGTTTGGGAAGGAAGTACCCACTGTAGACTAATAGATACCGAACTGCGGAAAGGTCTCCGCATTATTACTGGTACAGTCAAATCCACTCAAGTACAATGGTTATCAGTCTTATCCAACATCGAACCCCCACATATTCGCCGACAAAATACTGTACTGCGAATTGCGGACAAAATACAAAATAACCCAGTATTGCCAATTCATGAATATGGAGTTGCAATGCCAAGACTCAAGTCCCGGCGCCCCTTTATCGCGAGATTAGAAGCAATAAAGAATCATAGAAGTCTTCAGCCCGATCCGTGGAAGGAAGATTGGGAAAATGACATCCCAATTAACGGTTCTTTAGTGGACAATGTACATAGTAAACCTCCAGGGTCAGACCTCTCCCGAAAACTCTGGACAAGGCTGAATCGCATACGCACAGGCCAAGGTCGATGTAATTATTTATTACATAAGTGGAAAATTAAGACAGACCCTAAATGTGACTGTGGCGCAGATAAACAAACAATGGAACACATAATAAGTGAATGTGCAAAGAGGAAATTTACTGGAACCTTATCTGAGATTCATTCGGCTACGGACAGGGCAATTAAATGGCTAGACTCATTAGACATCGAAATCTAACGTAATCCACAACCCAAGATAACGCAATGTACATGCCACCGTACAGCACTCACATATTTACCAATCTATTTATTTATTAGTATTTTATATTCCATAGTTTATATTTGTTATATGCAGCTGTTTATTTATTTGTTTATATATTTATTTGTTTATTCTAATTTGTCTGTTAGCTAGTAGTATTAATACTGTAATAGTACTTTATAACTATAATTATATTGCATTCAATAAAGGTCATACGATAATAATAATAATAAATAATTTGTCTCTAACCCGCTATTTATTACCTAGATGACC